TCAGTTTCTCAAACGAGTGTATGCCTGTCTGTTGGTCCACTTAGGAGTCTTGATCCTGGTTGTGCGGTGGGCTAGTTGTGGCAAATGGTAGGGAAGCTCAGTATTTCTGTATACAGTTGTAGGGACTTTATTGCAATGTGCTATGGTCTGATATTATGTTCTTATTCCAGTGTGGGGTGTGTGTGGGGCAATGGAAGCTGAGTTATAGGGTCTCTCCAAGTGATTGCCAGAAGTGAGATGCGTCCTGGTCTTGTGTCTTACAGATAATCTTACAAATAGTCCTTTGCATTTATATCATGCTTTCAACTTTAAAAGGATCATAATGCTGATTGTGTGAACTCAGGCAAATCATGAGAGATAGAGCAGGAAGAGTTGCATCAGTGCTTAGTTCTTGTGGCCCTTTCTTACACGCCCAGGGAAATGCTGATCGCCACTTTAGGGCCAGGCCAGTTTGGCCCCCAGTGATCCTGGAGGTTTTTTTTTATCATATTCTGGGTGTGGAACAGGGGTCACTGGGGTGTGTGGGGGGTATTGGTGAATTTCCTGCATTGTGCAGGGGGTTGGACTAGATGACCCTGGAGGTCCCTTCCCACTCTGTGAGTCTATGATTCTATAATTCACCCAGGCTGGCTGTTGGCACGCCAGCACCTCTGTCAGGCAGAAGCGCCTGAGATCTTCCCCCTCCCCTTTTCCTTCGCCCGACTTGGAGGCGAAGGGAAGGGAGAGGGGGGAAAGAATGGATCCCAGGTGCTTCTGCCTGTCAGAGGGGCTGGTGCACACTTCCGGTGATGTCAGGGGGTGTGGCATATGCTAATAAATAATAATGAAATGACCCCTGCTTCCATCCCAGTTTTTCTATTGTTCAAAGATGCTTATGCTAAAATAATTTAAACAAAGAGACCAAAACGACCAAAAAGGCTGTCATTTAGAGGAGGGCAAGGAGCTGTTCCAGTTGACAGCAAAAGATAGGACCCGAAGCAATGGGTTTAAATTACATGCAGAAAGGTATTGGCTGGATATTAGGAGAAATGTTTTCACTGTCAGAGTGGTTCAAAGGTGGAATCAGCTGCCTAGGGAGGTGGTTAGCTCCCCTTCACTGACAGCTTTCAAGAAAAGGCTGGACGAATATTTGTCAGAGATGCTTTAGGCTGATCCTGCATTGGGCAGGGGGTTGGACTAGATGGTTTGTATGGCCCCTTCCAACTCTATGATTCTATGTTTCTGCTGCTGTGAATACAAGGAACCTGGGAATCTTTGGAAACTACACAACTTTCTTACACACGAGGCAAACGTACCAATGTCTCCTAAAACTCCCAATGTGAACCAATAATTTATGTCAAGATCATTTCCAAAGTTGCCCACTTGAGGTCCTCTAGAGACTTTAGTTTACATTCTTCCTCTAATGTTGAAGAAGTGTGCCTGCACATGAAAGCTTTATACCTTGAATAAAACTTTGTTGGTATTAAAGGTGCCACTGAATTCAAACTTTGTTCTGCATCCAAAGTACTTAGTGTTGCTTGGGCAGTCTTTAGCATTATGGAAAACAATGTGAGCTGGTATCTGTTTCTCTTCCATCAACCTCATTAAATAACCCACTTAGCCAAAATCAACAGTTCCTACTTTATTTATACCTTTAATGATGGTGAAGCACTTCTAGATATTTTTGCAAGGATGCCATAATAAAACATTTAAAAGGTAATCATAACAATGTTAGACTGAAATAACACTTCAATTGTTCATTTACCAGCCACGATAAAACATTTTGAAGTTGTTGCTTGCATACATCCTCCATGCTTAAGATTTCGAAACACCAGTCCTATTTCTGACAGAACTGTCCCGCACATTGGGCCATTCAGACACTGCTTCTAACATTCAGCAAGCTAGCCTAAGCTGTTTGGACCACCAATTGAACAACATCTCAGGGTGCCTCCAAGTAGTAGTTGGATATTAGTTTAGGGGTTAAACAGAATGGAAGACAATGGACCATCGGGCCAAAGTGCTCCAAGATCCAGTGGAGGGATAGAACAGTATCATATATAGCAAAGCATGCAATTGCCTTATTTTGTGTCCTCTCTCTGCCCGCGCACCTTTTCAGGTGCAGGAACAGCCTGTTTCAGCACTTGAAAAGAAGAGAGAAGAGAAGAGATTGGATTTATACCCCGCCCTTCTCTACCCAAAGGAATCTCAGGGTGGCTTACAATCTCCTTCCCCACAACAGGCACCCTGAGAGGTAAGTGGGGCTGAGAGAGCTCTGAGACAATTGCTCCTGAGAGAACGACTCTGAAAGAACTTGTAACTGACCCAAGGTCACACCAGCAGCTGTATGTGGATGAGCTGTTAGCTGGATTGCCTCAAATTATAGATGGTTTTAGGGAAAATATGATTCTACATGAGGCAATATGCAAATAAGGGAGAAATCACCTATGTATTCAGGGGTCCCACTTCTTTCAGACGCACCAGAAATAGACTCAAAGGCTGACTTCAGTATA